CCAACTCCACCACCAGTACCAGCTGCCATCCTCAGGGCTTTGGAATACATCCGTACCCACCCACAAGAACCAGAAAAGAAATTCTAAATTAGTTGATATATTGAATCTACCACTCTACTGATTTTGTAAATAATGTTACATTGTTGAAATTAAATATAAGATTTTCTCTTTATTTCTGACATTTTTATTGGACTGTCCGGAATGTTCGTATCGATTTTTGCTACGTTCCATTGGCGATGTATAAATATATCAGAAATGTTAAAAAAATAATTGACTTGTATACATATTCTGAAACGTACTTTTCAATCTTATTTAAAAATGTTTGTTTGGGATAAAATTATTTGTGTCAGTAAAAATGTCACTAAAGTAATAACTTTGATATATTCTGCTTACAAAATATGCTTTAGCTAAATGAATTGTATGAAAGTAATTTGCTATGTTTAGAGCTAATGAATTCAGCATTAAAGATCTGCTAGTAGTACCCGTACTACACGATACCTTAATTAATAGAGATTTTTTGTAAAATATGACAAATCGCAAGCGATTTTATAAGTATGGATATATAAACCATTACGATATATGAGTTTCACACAATTTAACAGACAAATATCACAATTTCAGCCCTTATGTAATTTTTTTTTTCAACAAAAATTGTGGGTGTTAGACAGAGTTGTATTACTCCACTCAATAATGCATATTCGGATTTCCAATAATAATAATAATTTATTGGCCACACATCAATACAAAAGAAAAAAAGTACATTCTATAAATAAATGATAATAATAAAAACTAAAAAAATATAACAACTCTTAAAATAAATAAATTCTAACATAAAATTAAAAAAAATATTAATAGGCTGGCCAAAGGGCTATCGACCGAGGTTTTTCCGCCCTACCGATATCAATTTATTGGGATATTTGCAAAATTCTATCCATTGCAAATATGTTTAATTTCTACAAAAAAAACAACTGGAAAAGTTTTTAGACGTAAAACCTTATAAATCCTGGACGAGGGAATGTTTAAGTTGCATGAAAAACAAAGAATGTACAGAGCGCAATTGTGTATACATTATTAAAAATTGTTTTACAAACTTTTCTGACAACCTAATAATATTATTTAAAAGTTTATTCATAACCAATGCAAACATTAAGTAAACAATTACTAAATGCAAAAAAAACAGTTACAATTAAATTAGAATATAAAAAATTCACGGTGATAACAAGCTCTGCATTAGACAACTATTTAATAATTTTACAATAAATTTAAACAATATTAAAAAAAAACTACTATTAAGAAAGTCGGTTACCAAATGTTGGTGTGTTTGAGTATAAATAACGTGGAAGATGAGAGGAAGATCATCATTTGATTTGTAAATCTCAGTGCATTCACACACCAAAATGAAGATCGCTGTAAGTATTTTACTTTCTAATGAATTAACAAATATATAATATTATTTCATTTACTAATAAATGACACATTTTTTGTTATAGATTGTTGCATTCGCTTTCTTGGCTGTTGCCTTTGCTGCTCAATCCGATGAGCAAGCTCCAATCGTCTCCCAAGACTCCGAAGTCAACTTCGATGGATCTTACCATCACTCTTATGAAACCGGAAACGGCATCTCAGCCCAAGAACAAGGTGTCTTGAAGAACGCCGGAAGCAAGGACGGTGAAGCCGAAGAAGTCCAAGGATCTTACCAATACACCGCTCCAGATGGTACTCCAGTTAAAGTACAATACGTCGCCAACGAATTCGGTTTCCAACCACAAGGAGACCATCTTCCAGTCGCCCCAACCCCACCACCAGTACCAGCCGCCATCCTCAGGGCTTTGGAATACATCCGTACCCACCCACAAGAACCAGAAAAGAAATTCTAAATTAATTGAATCATTGTACTGATTTTGTAAATAATGTTCCATTGTTGATATTAAATATAAGATTTTCTCTATATATCTGATATTTATCATAATTTTAAAAAGTTTATTTCCATCAAATTCATACATATATTTTTAAAAACATTATTAATTTGCTTCAGTTATTTGAGTTTTACAAATTTATAGTGGTAAAAAACAAATTTTGGTAGTCAAATTGAATCTTTATTGTAACTTCAAATTGCATTTCTCCATGAGAAATGACTCAGGTCGATAGTCTTGTTTCGCAAATTAGAACCAATGGAATGTTTTTTTTTAATATGAATTGTTTATATTAAATAATCGCACGTTTAGAATGAACACAATAATGTTCATTGTTATTTGAATTAATTATTTAAAATTTGTTTATATTTTGCTGAATTTTTATTTAGTTCGGTTAGAAACTTTCAGGCTGTCTCTTCATTAATACAAATTGTACAGTATTTTCACTCTAAATTATATATTTATTAAAGGTACATCATAAACTTAAACAAATTAATAATTAATTAATTATATTTTTTCAGTAGAAATTTTATCATATTATAAAGAAATTTAATTAAATGGATTTTTTATATTATATAATTATTAATTATGTTACAGAATTTGTTTCAATCGTGTTGTAATGAATGCTTATTTCAATTGTTAATTATTTTAGTATTTTTTTTGCTAAGGCTTTCTCAATTTGTGACTACTATAAATTGAAGGTATGAATCAATAAAAGATGGATTATTGAAACTTTCCCCAATTACACAATGGACATTCAAGGCGAATAAGTAGAAAATGACGCGTTGATGCATAACTTCGATGAGAATATAATTAGATTAGATAATAAAATTTATTGGTTCCCAAAATACGGAGGACCGAGGTCTTCTCGTTACGTTAAGATATATTAATATCACGCGCCTAATAGCTGAAGTTTCCTAAGTGCAAATGTCCAAGAAACCCATTAATTTAAATAACGAAACATTAAGCGCTTTAAAGTCAAGGCCAGCATAAATAATTATTCAAAATAATATGCAATACTGAATGTATTCTATTTACACACATTTAATATAAATTGTTTATCAATTTTCAATCTTTTATTACAAGATGAAATAAATTATTAAAAATATGTGAAATTTAGCTGTAAGTGTATTAATATTATACTACAAATTATATTATAATTGAAATAAAATATTGAAAAAATTAATTGTTATTTGAATTTTTAAATACCAACATCTTGCTTTAATTATAAAACAAAAAAAAATTGATGATACGAAACTGCAAAAGCCGGTTCTTTTTATTGTTTACATTTTTGGTATAAATATTGAACGGGATGATACAGAAAGTATCATTTGATTTGTAAAATTCAGTGAATCCTCACATCATCATGAAGGTCGCAGTAAGTCTAGAAGTTCAACATTGCTGATCTTTTGGCTTTAATTATTCACTTTTTCTTAGATTGTAGCATTCGCTTTCTTGGCTGTCGCCTTTGCCGCTCAATCCGATGAGCATGTTCCAATTGTATCTCAAGAATCCGAAGTCAACTTCGATGGATCTTTCCATCATTCTTATGAAACCGGAAACGGAATCTCCGCCCAAGAACAGGGTGTATTGAAGAACGCCGGAAACAAGGAAACCCAAGCTGAAGAAGTCCAAGGATCTTTCGAATACACGGCTCCTGATGGTACCCCAATTAAGGTCCAATACATTGCCAACGAATTCGGTTTCCAACCACAAGGAGATCATCTTCCAGTTGCCCCAACTCCACCACCAGTACCACTTGCCATCGCCAAGGCTTTGGACTTCCTTCGTACCCACCCATACAAACCAGAAGATGAAAAGAAACATTAAGTTTAATTGGATTCTTTTAAAAATGACTGTTTGTAAATAATGTACCATTGAAAATATTAAAAATAATACTTGAATATTTATGTTGTTTTAATAAGTCTTATCTAATTACGAAAGAAACATAACCATTGTTAATGGAAGTAAATTATCGAATCTGATTATGCTTCTTAGCGTTATATATTTATATAATTACTAAAATAATATGTGATATAAAAAAATAATAATTTATAAACTTGGTAACTTATTAATTTTTATCAAAAAAAATATTGAACTGCAATACAAATTTACTTTTTACAATTCAATTTACAGTATTTTCTTGAAAGTCTTTAGTCAATTGATATAATTATAGATAGAAATGTATATATTTTTTAATAATTATTAACACCCATTTCTTCCAATTTCTTGACTACAACGAATCATTTGAACAAATTTAGTTATTGCATTTTTGTAACACTAATATCTGCATTGTTCATAAAACATTCTAGATTGTGTACACTACATGAATATCAAATAACTTCTGACATAATATCAATAGCAAATAATGTTGACAAAATAAAATATTAGCGCCTATTTTTATATGGAATTCCGTGTGAATTTTATAACTGAATTAAATATAATCATTACCAAATTTAATAAATGATCACCAAAAATAATAAATGCTCACTAAGTATCTGGAGTAGCATTACTAAAAAAGTAAAAAATATTAATATAATAAACTTCAATTGACAATGGTACCAAACACATCATTTTAATTTAAAAAATAAAACAAACTATAATTAATGTTCTGTAAAATTGCATTAGTGCTTTGCTATATAGGCAAATGCGGCTTTCAGCTTTCACAGTGTTGTCAATTTTGGAAAATTCATTTCCGTAGTAAAAATAGAGATTGTGCAGCTCCTTAGACGATTTTTAACAGGCAAGTGGCTCTTTGATCCAAAAAGTTGGTATTTATTTATGCAAATTTTATTTCTATAACATTTTGTACCGATCGAACTATTTCTGCCCAAGATAATAATTATGATTTATAAGTAATTTCAATGATGAATAAAATTAATAAATATTGCCATAATTGAGTGTTCATAAAGTAAAAATTAATTAAATGATTGAAATTAGATTACTATTATAGTCACGATCATTATTGTTTTTATTACTATTACGTATTCTTTCATCTGTATAAAAGTGCGTATAAATTAACAGTTTGAAACTGATTTGCAAACATTTTTTGTCTTAGTAACAAAAAAAAGAATTGCATCGCACAATGAAAGCCGGTTGTAGTTTTTTCGGGCGAGTTCGAGTATAAATACGGTAGAAGACGTCGTCGAAATCATCATTTGATTCGTGAAATCCGGTGAATCCTTATATCAACATGAAGGTCGCAGTAAGTATATTACTTTATAAACAATAAAACATACATGGATTCATTAAAACATAAAATTGTCATTTTTTTTAGATTGTAGCTTTCGCTTTCTTGGCTGTTGCCTTCGCTGCTCAATCCGATGAGCAAGCTCCAATCGTCTCCCAAGACTCCGAAGTCAACTTCGATGGATCTTACCATCACTCTTATGAGACCGGAAACGGAATCTCCGCCCAAGAACAAGGTGTATTGAAGAACGCCGGAAGCAAGGACGGTGAAGCCGAAGAAGTCCAAGGATCTTACCAATACACCGCTCCAGATGGTACCCCAGTTAAGGTACAATACGTCGCCAACGAATTCGGTTTCCAACCACAAGGAGACCATCTTCCAGTCGCCCCAACTCCACCACCAGTACCAGCCGCCATCCTTAGGGCTTTGGAATACATCCGTACCCACCCACAACAACCAGAAGTTGGAAAGAAACATTAAATTTCTTAATAACTGATTAAATAAATTGATATGATTTTGAGAAACTGATTTTTCTACAGACTGTGCCATTGTTGATATTAAAAAATAAGTTTAATGAAAACCGTCTTTTTATTACATATATACAAAACAACTTCTAACATGTATAGATTTAGTCAGTTGTTGCAGAGAAGTTCTACAGGAATGTATGTTTTATTGAGATATTACTTAATTATTGATTGAAATTAAACTACTGTAAAATTGCATTAGTGCTTTGCTATATAGGCAAATGCGGCTTTTTAGATAATATATTGCGGCTTTCAGCTTTCACAGTGTTGTCAATTTTGGAAAATTCATATCCGTAGTAAAAATAGCGATTGTGCGGCTCCCTAGACGATTTTTAACAGGCGTGGCTCTTTGATCCAAAAAGTTGGTCGACCCCTGATACTATGAAAATAAATCTGTTGTGCAGCAAAATTCAAAATACATTTCTTATAAACAAACATAATTTCACAGTAGAAAAATTTACTAAATTACAATGAAGAGCACAAACATTGATATTGGCATATTTAACTTACAAATGTATATTTTGGAAATTCTATTTATTTATGAAAATTTTATTTCTATAACCTTTTGTACCGACCGAACTATTTCTGCCCAAGATAATAATTATAATTTATAAGAAATTGCAATGATGATTGAATATTGCCATAATTAACTGTTCATAAAGTAATAATTAATTAAATGTTTAAATTTAACATTGTTTTTAATGTATACTTATTAGATTACTATTATAGTTGAGATCATTATTGTTTTTATTAGTTTAAGCATTCTGTCATCTGTATAAAAATGCGTATAAATTAACAGTTTGAAACTGCTTTGCAAACATTTTTTGTCTCAGTAACAAAAAAAAGAATTGCATCGCACAATGAAAGCCGGTTGTAGTTTTTTCGGGCGAGTTCGAGTATAAATACGGTAGGAGACGTCGTCGAAATCATCATTTGATTCGTGAAATCCGGTGAATACTTATATCAACATGAAGGTCGCAGTAAGTATATTACTTTCTAAACAATAAAACATACATGGATTCATTAAAACATAAAATTGTTATTTTTTTAGATTGTAGCTTTTGCTTTCTTGGCTGTTGCCTTCGCTGCTCAATCCGATGAGCAAGCTCCAATCGTCTCTCAAGACTCCGAAGTCAACTTCGATGGATCTTACCATCACTCTTATGAGACCGGAAACGGAATCTCCGCCCAAGAACAAGGTGTATTGAAGAACGCCGGAAGCAAGGACGGTGAAGCCGAAGAAGTCCAAGGATCTTACCAATACACCGCTCCAGATGGTACCCCAGTTAAGGTACAATACGTCGCCAACGAATTCGGTTTCCAACCACAAGGAGACCATCTTCCAGTTGCCCCAACTCCACCACCAGTACCAGCCGCATCCTTAGGGCTTTGGAATACATCCGTACCCACCCACAACAACCAGAAGTTGGAAAGAAACATTAAATTTCTTAATAACTGATTAAACAAATTGATATGATTTTGAGAAACTGATTTTTCTACAGACTGTGCCATTGTTGATATTAAAAAATAAGTTTAATGAAAATCGTCGTTTTATTACATTTATACAAAACAACTATTAACATGTATAGATTTAGTCAGTTGTTGCGCAGAAGTTCTACATACTACATGATTTGTATGTTTTATTAAGATATTATTTAATTATTGATTGAAAACATATCAGTTACATTCACAGGTTCTTGTTACAATTAAAACTGAAATAGCTATATACAATATGTTACACTATATTATTTCCAGTTAGATAAAACAAATGATTAAAATGTTAACTTAACCCAATAAGAAAATGATCAATTTTCTTTAATAAAACCAAACTTTTCAGTAGGACGTTTATATTGCAAGAAAATTAGATATTTTGAATTACGATGTTATGTCTGTTTTCTATAATTTAATTTGTGGCAAGAAATTTATGAGATAAAATACCAGATCTCACTAAGTATTTTTACTTGCAAATTAATATGTGAATGTGGATACCTATGTGCAAATGTTGTCATATTCATTGATTGAAAAAAAAATGATATTGCTTGAAATATTCAATGGATCCGATGGAATCTGGGATCGATAGCCTTTGTATTATAATTTCAACGGCGCAGAATCTAATTTTCTATGATTTATTAATGGATTAATTAGCATATACAAATGGATAGTTGTTTTTTTTACTAAACGGTTTCGATATCGACATTTTTTTTCATTTAAAATTTGAGATCTATTTGCATAATTATATATTGTCGTTAAAGCAGACGAAACGTTATATAATCAGCTTTATTGAGCGGCGGAAAAAATGTATATATAGAAACGCGGTAATAAATAATAGCGTAATGTAAATAATTTTGAATGGCAATAATTTTCGAAAGTTATATGCAGAGCTTCAATTTTTGATATGGTCGAATGAGTACCGTATAATTTGTTAATTATATAATAAGAATTAATTCGTAATATTTTAACATAGTACAATAAAATGTTTCAAAACGTTTATTTAGCTTGTTTATGATTAATCGTAATATTTTTTCTTTATATCAAGTAATCAAGTAAATATTTTAAATTTAACAATAATAATAATGTTTATTGCATCAGTCATACAAAAAAAAACTTCTACAGAAATAAAAAGAATAAAATAAATATACATAATTTCAAAAAAAAATAACTGATACAAACGCGTATTGACCATAAGTCTTTCTGCCCGGAATTTAAAAAATTTAATAAATAATTTATCCATTTTTTTTTATTATTTTGTATTTATTTAATAATTTAAATTATTACGTACGTATAGAATACATACTTAACCCATTCCAGCCCATTTTTATAATTTTGGTTTTGTTTTATTTAAATCTTTATAAAAGCACTTATTTAATCATAAAAACATCTTACCTGTTTTTTCATAATTCAACATTACCTACTACTAAAAATACATCTAGCTTCAATTAATATTACTTGCTTTTAACAGTTTAAATCGACGAATGACAAAATTGAATTCTAAAATTAATGATTCCATTTGCAATCACAGAGATGGAAAGGGTTAAATTCAAGAATTTTAAACAGTATGTTAAAAATTGTAGAAAGTAATTAAATAAAAAAATTGAAATTTTAAAATTTTAAAATTAAATAATTGTGATTTTTGAAAAATCAAATTATGATAATATACTTTTTGAATAAAAATAATTACATGAAGTAGAAATGACAATATTAGTAATTTTTTATAACGGATAAATTTACTTTTCGTGGTTTGTAATTAATTTTCTACAAAATAAAATAGGTTCATTGATTAATTGAATATTTTTTGTGTTAAATATCCTTGTGTAAATGTTATTTGTAATTTTATTAGGAGTAAGTATTATATCTCATGTGGAAATAGCAGTATTATTAGTATATAAAAAAAGAGGAGATTTATACACACCTTCGCTATTTCATTCAATGTTATGAAAGCCGGTTAGAACTTTCGGCTGAGTTTCGAGTATAAATATTGTGCGAGATCGAAGGAAGATCATCATTTGATTTATAAAATTCAGTGAATCCTCATCAACATGAAGGTCGCCGTAAGTATATTCCTTTCCCAAACCAATAAATTAAATCTGTAGTTTTGTAACGAATCGCCAATGAAATCTTTTTTCGTAGATCGTAGCATTCGCATTCCTCGCCGTCGCCTTCGCCGCTCAATCCGACGAGCAGGCTCCAATCGTCTCTCAAGACTCCGAAGTCAACTTCGATGGATCTTACCATCATTCTTATGAAACCGGAAACGGCATCTCCGCCCAAGAACAAGGTGTATTGAAGAACGCCGGAAGCAAGGACGGTGAAGCCGAAGAAGTCCAAGGATCTTACCAATACACCGCTCCAGATGGTACCCCAGTTAAGGTACAATACGTCGCCAACGAATTCGGTTTCCAACCACAAGGAGATCATCTTCCAGTTGCCCCAACTCCACCACCAGTACCAGCTGCCATCCTCAAGGCTTTGGAATACATCCGCACTCACCCACAACAACCAGAACCAACCAGGAAATTCTAAATTAGCGATAATATTTTAACGATTTAACCTTGATTTATAAAGGCTGTGCCATGATACCTTAAAGAAAACTCTGATTTTTTATTTATTCCTATATTCTTTGGCGATATCAAATGTTTGTTCCGAAAAATATTATTCAAGCCCCTAAAACTTCATAAGGCCTAAGCAAATTTGTATATCGTAGCCCAAAGCCAACTTGTATTTGATGGCATTAGATACATTTTTATTTCAGAAATTAAGCATATCTTAATTTAAGGCTCCATTTGATTTGATACAAAGAAAATCATAGAGCTCTAATCTTTCTTGAATGGCTATGCTATGGAAGTAGTTGGCTTTAGACACCCGTTAGTTTTACTATTTGAGGGCAGAAATATATTTTTATTTGGGTGCAATTTAGATTAGGGCCGCCGGTACCACGTCATCATAGTTCTATAACTAATATAGTAAGTAATTATTAAATAAGTATATATCAACGATAATTTGTTATATACGAGCTTATGAGAGTACTTACAAAACATTTGCTAAAGTAACCATATAGTTGCTTTATGAATATAAATCTATTCGTATATAAACAAAATAATTTGTGAAAATCACAATTTGTCTTAAACCTCTTACTAACTTAACTAATATAAAATTTTCCTTGTTATACAAAATGTTATGTATATTTTTATGATATCATAAATTAAATATTAATTTGACTTATTTTTTTAATTTTATTAATTTCATATCGTTTGAAGCTTATGTATATTAAGTTTTTATATATTACATAATTTAATACTTATTATATTAGTTAGTTAATTAATTAACGTATTATCAAATATTTGTGGATCCATTTCAAGATTTGATACTCTCTTGTTTTAAGTGGGGCCAGACCAGAATCATACAAAATATTCCTAAAAAAAAAAACAAATTAAAACCCAAAATAATTGTAAAAAGTAATTAAAATAACAATTATATAAACTTACTATAAATGTAACATGCCATAAGGCTATCGACCTAGGTTTTTCTGCACGGGAATCATAATTATTATGGTATTCATGAGCAGAATGTAAGTTGCATGAATGAAAAAAATAGTTCAACTAAATAAACTATAAAATATTAAGTTAATATATGTTTAAAAGGTTTTACATTTAACTAATTATTTTATAATTAAAAGTATAAATTATGAGTATAAATGTTATATAAAAAAGTATAATATTCATATGCTAAAACAATAAAAAAAAACAATGAATTATTAAATTTGAAGAAAGTTTTAGAAAGACTTTCGGATGAATTTGGGTATAAATAGATAGAGAGAAGACAGCAGGATCAACATTCGATTTGATTAATCCAGTGTATACTCATCATCAACATGAAACTTCTTGTAAGTATATTGACTATTCCATATATTTCTTCTCGTCAAATAATTATTAATTTTTTCACTATTGTTATTACAGTTGGTATCAGCTTTCATCGCTGTGGCATTCGCAGCACAATCGGAAGAACAGGTAAAAATCGTGTCGCAACATTACGAAATCAATGCGGATGGATCATACAAATACGATTACGAAACCGGAAATGGAATTTCTGCGCAACAGGAAGGTTCTTTGAAGAATGCCGGAAACAAGGAGACTGAAGCCGAAGAGGTCAAAGGATCTTACCAGTACACGGCTCCAGATGGTACCCCAATCAAAATTCAGTATGTTGCCAACGAATTTGGATTCCAGCCAAAAGGTGATCATCTTCCAACCCCACCACCAGTACCTGCCGCCATCCTCAAGGCTCTAGAATACATTCGCACGCATCCAGAAGCTGAAGCTGCAAAGAAATTGTAGAGTTATTAAATGTTAGTTCCGATTGTGCTTAAGATGCATATATTCATTTTGTAAATACTATACCTATGTTGATATTAAATATAAATCGTTTTTATTTTCTTATACATTGTTGTTTTTATCGTAAATGTAGTTCATGGTTCATCAGTACAAAAATTGAAATTTCAATTTGAACAATGCATTTATCAGTATATAACTTTGACCAACATGATTTTTTGTGTTATCAACAAAAATATAAATAGAAATAATATTAATAATAAAAATAATTTATTACTTACATTTTTATTGCAATTTGACTTCAGTATTTAAGCTTAAATTGACTTAATTTGTAAATTTAATAAATATTATATAGTGTCAAAAAAAATATTTTTTTTTTTTAATAAATGATCAATTTCTTTACAAATTGCATTATCTTCTTATGATGCAGTAGTTTTATCATTTTTAGTGTAATTATATTCGATAGATATACTAAAAATAATGAAAGTATTTGAAATAGAAAATCTAGTAAAATCTTTTGCAAAACACATAACATTTTTATCCAGTGGTAGTTTATAGTTTTTGGTATAGTTATATTTTATGAATCTAAGAGAAATAACAAAACTGTATTAAAACGTATATGAAATATCAAATCCAGTAGAAAGTATATTTCACTTCACATTGTATACTTTGAACTTTTGTAGTAAGTTATACAACAATACCTCCCATTATCGGTTTGAAACTGAACAATTGAGAACTTTAAATAAATAGCATTAAAACAAATAAATATATTTTTTTTATGTCGTGTGATTTTATTTAGAATCTCTTCATCAATGTGAAAATTGAGTAATAGTTACGATTATGATGATTTTTAATTTGGCTGTCGTCTTGTAGGTTAACTTCAGTAGTATATTGATGCTCTGCAATTCCACTATTTCCTTTGACTGTGAATCTGCTGCTATCCTTAATTCTTTCATTGTCCATCGACTTGGCTAAAGGTCCATATGCATTAATTTCACTGTCCATCTGTGATGAACGATGGACCTATTGCTTACAAAGGGCCTGGCTTGACCAGGATTTGAACCAGTGACCACTTGCACGTGGGTAGGGCGACTTGATCATTCGGCTATATATAAAAATAATGTTGTGTACTATTTTTTTAGATTATATTTTTATTTTATTCAAGTAAAATTTAGTTTGCTTTGAAATTTTCAAACCGTACTATAGTGAAACTGCATTGATCGAAATCACACTATGAGAGGTATTGTTGTAGTTTAGTAATTAAAAAAAACTATTTTTCAGACCTGTGTGTATTTATAGTTAAATTAGGAAAAAATAACAAAATAATAGAAACTCAAATAGAGATCTTAATAGAATAAACTAATCTAGTAAATAGAAGTACGTAATCTAAAAGTAATGATTGTAATAGACATATTCAGAAGTAGTTATATAAATTGGATTATACTAACGAGATATTTGTATATTGTATGTATATTGATTTGTTATATTATTATTGTAAATGTTAATTAACAATATTTACCACCAAAAATGTCAAGGCATGAAACGTTTTCTAAAAAATTAAAGAAAATACTTTATTAGGTTGAGAAATACTTGAACAGGTAATACTTAAATCATCATTACATAATAATTGAAACAGTTATTGCATTGCAAAAGGCCAATGATTTATACTAATCAAATGTTAAGTAATTTCAATGAATATTATATTAAAAAATAACTTGAAAATGAGTGTTAAATAAGTAAAGATATAAAAAAAACTAATAAACTGATTAAAACGTTGTTGAAGAATAGTTTATTATTATACAATGATTACTTTTATGTAACTATAAAAACAATATATATAAATGTATTATAGTACTATTATAATTTCTTTTCTTATAAAAAAAATCTGAATTATTAATTGTGATGAAAGTTATTCCGAAAAACTTTCGGATTCGTATGGGTATAAATACTAAGACACGATTATGCTAAATCATCATTCGATTTACAGAATCCAGTGTACAATCATCAACATGAAATCTTTCGTAAGTGAATCGTATTCTAAATGCTAATTAAGTGCTAATTAATGTTATTTCTTTATTCTACAGATTGTCGTCCTCGCTTTTGTGGCCGTTGCCTGTGCAGTCAAATCCGACGAAGAAGCCAAAATCATCACCCAGAATTACGAAATCAATGCCGATGGATCCTACAAATATGATTACGAAACTGGAAACGGAATCTCTGCACAGGAAAGCGGTGTGTTGAAAAACGCAGGAAACAAGGATACGGAAGCTTTCGAAGTTAAGGGCTCTTACCAATACACTGCCACTGATGGTAAACCAATCAAAATCGAGTATGTAGCCAACGAATTGGGATACCAACCAAAGGGTGACCATTTGCCAACTCCACCACCTGTACCAGCCGCAATCCTCAAGGCTTTGGAATACATTCGTGCCCATCCACAACCGGAAGAAAAGAAATTCTAAATTTAATCGTTTGATCATTTGAAAAATCATTCATGCATTCTGTACATGTGCCATTAGATATAATAAATAGACATATTTTTTGTTAATTAATGATTATGTTTTCATTTACCAATTTTTTACTATTTTTTTTTGTTTGAAATTTTATTTTAGTTTTTTGGTAAACTTTCCCAATGGAAGTTTCACCAGTCTTTACAAATTTGTATTTTAATGCGACGCTGTTTCCGCTAGAGAGGTTTTTTTTTAGAGAAAAGTACTGTTTGTATCTACTGCCTTTCTAGTGTTAACACTGTCAATGTATCCATCGACTTTGTTGGATGTCTAAATGATCTTCATGTGACTATTCATTGATAATAGAGAAAGCTTACAAGGGGTCTAACATAATTGAGATTGAACCCTTGCTCATAACATGCTAACCGTTGCTCTATTTAACCCCAAATAAAAATATAAATAATCAAATTTAATTCATTGTTAAATGCAAATATAATTGTTATTAATTATTAAAAAAGAAATTACTACATATTTTCGATCTGCTTAGTAGCAAATATAATAAATAATATAATAACAATCAAATTAAATTTGTTCAATAATGTTTCACATCCGCATAGTTTCCAGTTTTGGAATATATGTAAATGTTACCTTATTAACATTTTTGTCTGGTATTTTTTTTAATAGGGTTATTCAACTTATTTTATTATAAGAAAAAAAATCTTATGTAAAAAGTAAAATCTGAGAAGATGGGTTTTCGGTAGAAATTTGATACAAACTTCACGTTTTTTTGCAAGAAATGGAAAATATGTAAATAAAAACGTGTCTCATTTGTAAAATGTTATAACGGTACTTTATATAACGATCATCAATGTTGATTAAGCATGAGATTAAAAAATATACAAAAATATATATTAATATTTTCAAAAATATTAATATCTAAATGAATATGAAAAATATATCAATAATTAATATATCTATCAATAAATGTTGTTTGTCAATTATCAAATGAATAAAAAAAATCTAAATTGTTTTGAATGAAACTTTAGTCTAGTTTTTATTTATTTTTTCAATTACTATATTGAATACAAATAAGTATAAATTTAACAAAAAACAATCTGTTAAATAGCTACAAAATTTATTATTATATTGTTTTTTATATTACATGTTTTCAATTTCTTAAAATAATAATAACAATATTTGTTGCAATAAATATACAATTAAATAAACAATACAACCAAAAATAGATATAAAAAGGTAAACAAATTTAGGTCGCTGGTCCATATTATGATATTAAAAATGTGTACTTATGTTTTTTAATAGTACATTTTTTGGTTTCTTTTGTTCTTTGTTTTAGGTTTAAATAAATTTGTAATCGTATTATAAATAGGTAAAGAGGATATTTTTCTTAATTGATGATTAAGTAATTTTTATATTTCTAAAAGTAATTTCTGATATATTCATAATCTCCTATATATGTATACAAAAATGAATTATTAAATATTATGAAAGCTATGTGGAAAAACTTTCGGTTGGAATCGGGTATAAATAGTGTGAGAGAAGTAAGTGGGATCATCATTCGATTTGCACAATCCGGTGAAGACTAATCAACATGAAGGTTCTTGTAAGTACAGCTATTTCTTAACATAAACTACAAATTTATTCGAATTATCAATATTTTTTCTCTCTCATTCAGATTGTTGCGTTCGCTTTCTTGGCTGTTGCCTTCGCCGCTCAATCCGACGAGCAGGCTACAATCCTTTCCCAAAATGCCGAAATCAACCCAGATGGCTCCTACAAGTACGATTACCAAACCAGCAACGGAATTGCCGCCCAAGAACAAGGTGTCTTGAAGAACGCCGGAAGCAAGGATGGTGAATCCGAGGAAGTCCAAGGATCTTACCAATACACCGCTCCAGATGGTACCCCAGTCAAGATCCAATACGTTGCCAACGAGTTCGGTTTCCAACCACAAGGAGATCTTCTGCCGGTCGGCCCAACCCCACCACCAGTACCAGCTGCCATCCTCAAGGCTCTGGAATGGATCCGCACCCATCCTCAACCACAAGAACCAACCAGGAAATTCTAAGAAATGTGATATCTGTGAACTAATTTGAATCCACTACACTCTTCCATTATGTACATATTGTGCCATTTTTTTATATAAATAAAACAATTTTTAAATTTTAACACAATCAGATTTTATTTATAAGTACAGTGGAAAGATCATAATTAATTGTAAAAAAAATGACTCGCTTAACGAGCGACGTTTCGCATAACGAGTGACGATGAGAAGAGAAGTCCCGGATTTCGCACATGCTACATCATTTTTAAAACTTGTGTACATATATTATGTGCATTTTTGAATATGTTTCACTATACGAGTAAAAATCCGGAAATTTTGGAACGAATTAAACTCGAGGTTCCATTGTATACAAGTATTTAATTTATATCTTGAAATGAATTTTAGAAGAAATTTCATAAACATTGAAAGAATTTAATGAGCACAATTAATGTTAGTAAAATTAATTGCACATTAGAAGAATTTTTATCCAAGGAAATGTCAAATTAAAATCCAATTATGAAAAGTTTGATATGCAAAAGCAGAATTTTATAATTGAAGAAATTTGATAAAAAAATGTAAAGAACGAACTACTAAAATCATTCTAATTAACTCATTATATTATAATTACCTAATGTATGCAATTATCAAAATATAGATTAACGTAATAAATAATTGTAATCATTGGTTATACTAACTATTTGTAAAAATTGTTATAATATTGCTGATTATTATTGCTTTATGTATTTTTTATTAGAAGGAAATTATTAATTTGGTAATTAAAGTAAATATAGATAGGTTGTTGTAAAAAGAATATTTATTGCAAATTAACAATAATATGCTAATAATGGCACGGCATTTATAAAATGAACGAGTGTAGTTTCAAAATAGTTATGTATCCAAAATCGGAGCATATATGGCAGTCTTCTTAGAATTTCTTTTCTGGTTCTTGTGGGTGGGTACGGATGTATTCCAAAGCCCTGAGGATGGCAGCTGGTACTGGTGGTGGAGTTGGGGCAACTGGAAGATGGTCTCCTTGTGGTTGGAAACCGAATTCGTTGGCGACGTATTGTACCTTAACTGGAGTACCATCTGGAGCGGTGTATTGGTAAGATCCTTGGACTTCTTCGGCTTCACCATCCTTGCTTCCGGCGTTCTTCAACACACCTTGTTCTTGGGCGGAGATTCCGTTTCCGGTCTCATAAGAGTGATGGTAAGATCCATCAAAGTTGACTTCAGAGTCTTGGGAGACGATTGGAGCTTGCTCATCGGATTGGGCGGCGAAGGCGACGGCCAGGAAAGCGAAGGCTACAATCTAATTTAAATAAAGTATTTACATTAATATTTGAAATTGCAGAATACTTGATGATGCCACTTACTGCTACTTTCATTTTTGATGCTACTTTATCGAACTTGAGATTTAGTATGCCTCTTACCGATCTGCGACTTCTATTTATACTTCGAATTTTTTGGGACTTCTACAACAAACTCGCTTTTATTCAGGGACTCTTGTCGTCAAGGACTCACACAAGAAAGATTAATTGGAACCAGACTAAACCATAATCTAATTCATTTTAATCTCTTATACGACACATACTAACTAATTTATTGACACATTTGTTGTTCTATTTTTTTAATAAGTTCACGTTTTTTATTAACTGATTTGAAGAATACTTATATATTGGTCGGTTTATTCTATTAAAATATTTATTTATTTTATTAATATTTTTAGCGTAATTTTCTATATTTATATGTATGTTTAATTATTGAAATGAATGTTATTATTATTTATGAGAAAAGTAACCCGGATTGATTACTAATTACAATACATAGAAATCTATTCGCAACAATTAGAAAATATCATGAAGATTAAATGGTTACTACTGGTAAATTAATAAAAATAAAAGGTTTCTGTATGTAAATATATGAAATATGTATAATATTCTTTATTACTACAAAAAAAGAAAACTAAACATTTTTCTTACAATAATTATTTAAAAAAAAATCACTTCTGCCCAAAATATGTATATTTTACAATACATTTTATTATATTATCTAATTTTTCTGTTTATATTTTTATTTTTCTCTTGATGTTATATGCTTTATTGATGAAAATACTTAGTATTGTAGAAAGAGAACTCATAGAAGAAGGATTGAATAATAATAATTATATAAATTCATTGTGTTTTATAATAAAAATTATATATATTTAATGATTAAACAATGGCACAACACTAGAGCATATGTGTATGTGTTCTTAAACAATAAAAGTGTGTCCCAAACATGCATACAGTTAAAACAGTGAGAAAACAATGATTGGTGGCAAATATTCAAAAACGAAAATAAAAACGTGGACAGTCTATTTTACAATTTCTGCTGCGGTTGCGGATGAGCTGCGATCCAGTCCAAAGCTTTGAGGATGGCTGATGGAATTGGAGGCGGTGTGGGAGCAACTGGGAGATGGGCACCCTGCGGTTGGAAACCATTCTCGTTGGAAATGTACTGCAGATTAATGGGAGTGCCATCCGGAGCCGTGTACTGATAAGATCCTTGAACCTCGGCGGTTTCCGCATCTTTGTTTCCAGCGTTCTTAATCACGCCTTGCTCCTGAGCCCTAATGCCGTTCCCCGTTTCGTACGAATGCTGGAACGTCCCATCGAAATCCACCTGCGAATCCTGCGCCAGGATCGGGATCTGATCGGCGGCGAAGGCGACTGCCAACAAAGAGAATGCGACGATCTGGAGCAAAACGTATTCCAATGTAGAACTATGAATGGAATAATGCAATTTGTACTTACTGCTACTTTCATGATGGTAATTCACTGCACTCGTGATTCAATATGATACTCAACTACCTTCCCTACCTTATATATACACACATACACCGAAGATCTTCCCCCGAAAGATTTAACTTTTATGCAATGTACACCTTGTAATACACTATTTATCTTATTGAATTTACATACGTTGTTATTCACTAAGTCGATTCCATTTATTCATATATATTGTATTAATATTTATAAATTGCGTTAGGCGGAAATCCAAAAATTTGAGAATTTTGCTATTAAAATAGACATTTACTTTTATCGTTTCTGTTGAAATTTCTAATTAACAATAGCATTAAATGCACCTACGTAAGAAACGTGTAAGTTCGAAAATGTTTCTCAATTCATTTAAAATACTATTTCATTGTAAACTCAATTATACAACAAAGTAAATTTTTTCTAATAAAAAAAATCGAAATATATTGTAAATAATCTAACTAGAATATCAGTAATAACAGAATTGGTAACACTATTAGTAGTAGTACAAATCTAAGTAGTTTATAGGTTTAGATGATCTAGGATGGTTTAGATCAGTGGTTTTTAAACTTGATATTACTAAGCCTCCCTTAAAAATATTTAAATATTTGGCGCCTCTTAATTTCATAAAATAGATAAAACTTTAGCAGACATTTCGAAAATTGTTCACTGTAACTAATAATCGCGCCTTCCCTTAGACAAGTCCGCGATTCCCTAGGCAGGTGCGCCTCACAGTTTGGAAAACGCTGGTTTAGATATTAAGATATAAATAGTTAATTTAAATTTTTGTAGTTATTAGAGTAATTTTTAAAACACTGTATCTTGTAAAATGTATCTTTTATAATTAAGTAGTTGCAGTAGTGGTAACAGTAGTAGCATAAATTGTAGCAAAAGTCGTAATAGTAGCAGTAGAACTAGTACTAGCAGTAGTAATATAGAAGCAGCAGTGGTGGCAGTATTAGTAGCAGCAGTAGTAACAGCAGAAGTAGTAACATTTGAAAATGAACGTCAAACATCCATAATAAAAATATTAATTTGAGATATTTATATTTGTGTATGATTTATAACGTAATTATCAATGATTAAGTGTAAATTAGTAAAAAATTTAAATTGTTTTCACTTGTAGCTTTAATTACTTTATAGTATTACTATAAAGTAATTAGTTTTTATAAATTAATAAGTTATTTCTAAATATAGAGTTTAATTACATAACCTTGATAGATGATATGATAATTAATATGATCATTAGATCTTAGATTAAAAGTCTATGATTTATTTAGTTTACATATATTATTATCGAGAATTACATAGATTTTCTGAGATGGAATTAAAATATGCAGACATAATGTTTATTTAATTGGTCAGCAATTGTATGGATTGCGCACATGAAGTAGTTTAAACTAATAGATTTATATTAAAATTGAATATGAAAAGTGCACATGTAACAAATAACAATAATGCCATTAATTATCGAGTATATAATGAACGGTTTGGCATTGCGGATCGAAGAAGAAACAAATAAACAAACAAATAAAAAAAAAATGAACTGGATTTATTCCATCGTTGAGTTCTCCGTTGTTCGAGAAGCTCCGATATCTTGGGAAAAAATCTATTGGAATGTACGACGTTACATAAGCGTGCGTAACAAAGAGCGAGAAGACCACATCATGATGATCATCGGCACCATCCATGGCCTCTGTGACATTTAGAAACGTTTAGAATGTTGCCACATGTAAAAACGGGGGGTCAGATTTTACGAGCAATTCGCAGAAGAAAAGTTAATTACTTTTGAAAAGAATCAAATATACTAAAACAATCCGCACTAAAACAATGTAATGAAAGAAACACGAATTATTTTTTTTACACAATTTTGTTTACACTCAATACTTATGTTTTCTATTATTAAATTATCCAATTTATTTGGACATTGGGAAATATTGAAAGTAAAAGTGTACAAAAAATCGATTGGAATTTACACACAAATAAACGCTTTAATTTAATTAATTAAACGTTGCGTGTCTATATATTTTTTATTTTATAGATTTTTACAAGAGTTAAGCAATGTACCTCAGGGATATTTCTTAAACTGGGAAAAATAAATTGTTTCGTAGATAGAAACTAACATAATACAAATACTCATACAACATTTTATTAATGATATTCAAATAACTTTCTTTATGTTTATTTGCTACCTAATTGATTATTTATTAATTACAAAAATTTCTATATTTTTTTCTCTTAATTTAATTTAAATGAAAACTAAATAAACGTTATTTTTATGCAAGAATCCGAAGGTGTAGATTATTTTTTTCCTTCATTCCGCGAAGCGTAGAAAAAAAACGTGTGCATGTAAAATGTCGAAGTTTTATATGTAAATAATTTATTATCATCTTAAACAAACTGTTTAGGTCAATGAAAAATGCTCAAGGAGTGGCGGACGGTTCGTGAATGTTGCGGATGGGATGGGAATTATATAAAAAGGCAGGAGAGTCGTGCTATTCGCCGCATTTGATCTTTACCATCGAGTCAAAAAACGTTCCGCAAAAGAGATGTTTCAGGTATCTCTGTTTTGTCTGTCTATGTTGTAGAACAACGTCGCTTCGAATTTGGAAATAATTAATGTAATGCAAATTACATGAAATCCAATAGAACACATGTTGCAAACTTGTTTATATAAGCGTCGTGACATTTGAGTTAGCGTGATAGAATCTTGATTTTTGGTGGTTTTATTCACGAAGAAGCAATAGAAGTGAAATTTAATGTTGCTTTTATGGTTTTGTTAAAATCTAAATATTTACTATAAATAGATATTCTTGTAATTTATGAATACTTAAGTAGTTAAAATATTTTCTATTGAATAAACATAGGAAGTCTCAATGCTTAGCTTTAAGCGAGGGATTACAAACAAGTGATCACGCAATAATTCGACGTGGATTATACGCTTAATTTATGAAGATTTACATAGTTATGGCATAATTACCATATTGATCCAATGCGAATAATGAATACTAATTTGAAATATGATCAAAGTATTTTATTTTATCTGAATTTATCCTTTGGATAAAATCAAATAATTTGCATAGATTTTCATGTTTCTCATGTAATGTTGCATCCGCACTGTGCGTGTTTTGAGACATATAAATGTGACATAAATTTATCAATTAATACCCACTTCGTATTAAATTAATATATCTCAGTTTATAGTCTTCATATTTACGTCTCTTGTTATGTATAGCGTAGATTAAATATAACATTAATAAAACCAACATACATTTTCTTAATAAAATAATATTTTAAGGGCAATAGCCCCTAGCAGCAGTTTAATTTAATTTCTATTATATTATTGTATTGAGTTTATATTTTGGTAATTTATTGTTACAACAAATATTACTATTTTTTTTAATGTTTGCGGTCTAGTCTAAATGGATCAGAACTATGTTATAAATGTAAAAGAATAACAATATTGGATTAAATAATTTAATTGTGTGAGTATTTTGTTAACTACTATAATCTTAAATCTCAGAATTAGTGTTTCTATTCATTAGAAGATGTCACACTTAACAAAACCTGATTATTTTTTTAAATTATATAATAGATTGTCGGTTTGTTGTTTGTATTGTTGCATACAATAAATATAAGTTTAGATCGCCATCTGTTAGAGAATGGCATATTTCTTAATGATAATTACTAATAATCGAAAAAAAAAATCAATACGAAGATAAATCTAACTGAAAGTCGAATAAAATAAAAATAATTCAATATTAAGTTATCTAGACTTACATAATTTAGTATAAAATTATTATAGTTTAATAAAAATTATAATAAATTTTATTGTAATAGTTACATAAAAACAAACATTTTGATACAATAATAATGAAACTACAAATAAAAGAAGATCATCTGCTTCTGTCTTATTATTGTTTGCAAATTGTTCTCATATAACTTTTTTTTTACACATATTTACAATTATTTTGAAGAATTTCATAATAAAAATTGTGTCGTAGAAAATGATTAGGTTGTACCGGAACTAGTCGGAAAGTTTACTGAAGTCCTTGAACTGTTTGGGTTGGTCTGAGGATTCTAGAAGAAACATCAATTCAAATGAAAACGAAATTTAAATTAAATAATTGTTTGATGGACCAAAAAAAATCAATAGGTCATATTATTTGATCAATAAATATGTTAAAATGAATATATTATAATTGTTTGAAATAAAGAGAATTTATTGGACATTTAAATATTTCTTAAATTCTTGTTTAATAATGATTATATTTTTTTTATTTTATAATTATTTTTTGGGTCATTTGCTACAATTCAATTTAGTTTTATTTTTATTATGTTATTTTGTTAAGTTTGTATTATGGTTGTTGCAATAAATATTACTATTTATGTATTTTTTATATGTAATTGTTAGAAAATTTCAATTTGAGCTTCGTCGAATTCAGTTATTTATATATTGTAAAAGAAATGAAACTCGCTAATTAATTAAGTTTTGTTTTATTAAAATATATTTATGGAGGTCTAATTCTCTAGTAGATGGGAAACTCAATAGTATCTCTTTATAATATTTTATTAATAAATGAATGGTATTAACTAGTAAATAGAATTTTTATGATTCATCTGATCAGATTTATGGAAGCAATTTCTCAGTTTGAAAGTTTGCATTTTCATATTGAAATGCCATCTGCGGTTGGTTGTAGGTGTGCAGGATATAAAAATAACTCGACGATTGAATGCATTTCGGCAAAGTCCGTTTTAATTGCCTCCGTTTGCAATTTGCGATGCACACGAAGATCTCTCAGACGTTTTTCGCTGCGAGCAATAAACGGCGATTATGCACTTTTTTTAATAATCATTCCTGCACGACTTTAAATACCACTAAATTGTATGTATTTCTCTGGGGCAGCATTTGATCTTCTGTACGTGAAGGACATCTCGGCACCTTCTTCCTCGTCATCACTCAAAAGCAAGAACAATGATACACACACATACATAAATTGAAAGAATGCAACAATGCAATAATAAAATCA